GTTATACGAACGTGTGGGGCACCTGTACGCCTAGTCTGAGCATTTTCCGTGGTGCTTTGGCAATTTGTCAGAAAATTTATTAAATGACTCTTCAAACTTTCTTCACCAACCATCTTCTAATAAAAAGAGACTGGATTTACAAGCGATTTCAGGAAACTAGCTAGTCGCGGCTTCAGCGTACCGAGCTGCAAAAAGGGTTTTATCAAAATTACAATTGCTCCCGTTTCACCTTTATTTTTTTACTTCCTCATGGTTAAGCACGTAGGCCACGGTCCTACTTTGTGCAAATATCGATTATTATCCACATCAAATACCACGAACGCCAAGGTTTTCTCGCAGTTACACGCGAGAAAGGCGGGCGCAAGCGTACCCGATTGCCGGCCGCGCCTAGCTGCCCACCGGTGACGTCAAGCTTGGGTGGCGGGGAAAACTGGGGAAAAACTAGAGAGTACAATGTTTCGGTTTCGGCAGCAAACAAAATATCACTTTTTTAATTGACTAGAGTGCATCTGGGAGAACAAGATAGCATTTTGGAATCAGGAAGCCATCCACATTCAGATGATGCCTTTGGATTAGGTAGCTCGAAAAATCGGCGTAGTTTCCTTTTAAGTCCTGAATTCCTCTTGCCAGCTCTTGATTGGTAGGCATATTGCACGACAGCACAGACAACTACGGAGGATATCTAAGCAGCTGAGAAAGCGTATTTGTAGAAAATAAACGGCTTAACGTACTTAACATACCTGTTGGGAGCGAAAAAAAATATCAGCTGCTGCAGTGATGTTACTCGCTGCTTAGATCGCCTCACTATGCCCGGGACAGCCAATGTTGTCTTGGTTTTGATGATTGATGCCGAATATTGGCGTTGCCGGAAGCAGGGGTGGCGGCTGCACTGCTCGTGACGGTAGGGATGATGAGTGGTCAGTGATGCGATGTTGATCTGCTGGGAACAAAGCAAAATTTCATCTGCTGCGGTGATGTTCCTGGCTGCTTAGTTCGCCTTCCTCCGGGGTCCGATTTTCATCACCGCGAGAGCGAGTAATAGCTTTCTTCTACCGGAGCGAGTTCACAAACCGTCCGCACATGGTTCGCTTGCTAGCGCTAGCGAAGAACGGGTCTTGCCTACTACAAAGTGTCATTCGGAGAGGCAAATAAACAGGAAAATACCGTACAACGTCTTCTAACAAACCTAAAAGAATAAGTGGATCCTCTGGTACGAACCGACTGTTGGGGGCAAGTGAGATCGAACGCGAGAAGAAATTGTGGTCGTGTGCTATTCACGTTCGCTGCGATTAACATTCCTTGCTTTTTCAAAAATCCCAAGTTATTCAGCTGCTGTAGACCAAATAAATTAACTGGCGCATAAAGAATTCCCAGTGCAAGCACATCAGGGGCTGCAAGATTTCTCTTACTGTATGTGTGTTGGTGATAGCGTTTCGACATAGTCAGTAGCACTTAAAATTCTAACGCATTTAAAACACGTACATGCCTGAAGTTGTGAGCAGTCGTCCAGGCGTAATTGTCACAACAAGGGCTTCTGGCGGGGCATGAAATAGCTGCCACAACGATGGCACGAGTTCATTTCTGCTCCAGGGGCGGTACGGTTTCTGGTGATGCGTGTATCTCTCCCCGGCGGCTAAAATCCCCGCAATAAGGATTTTCTGGTCACATGACTGGCGTCATAAGGACAATGTACCTATAAACAAAATCTCCGCGTCAAAGATTCTTTGATACGTTGTCAATGCTACCGTAGTTTCCCGAGTGTTGCAGCCACGGTGTGCTCTCGCAGCTCACCATCGCTGCGACAGCACATGGCTTCGTCTTGCGATATTGCGTCACCGGCGGGATCCGTGTGTGATTCGAGCTGACTGTAGGCATCGATGAAAATGAGGTCCAACGACCCCTGTCACTGGCTCAGAGGTTTATGTCTTCGTAGCAGCAGCTTCTCTCGACGTCAGAGAAAGATGAAGACTAAGACCCATTTGACGTAGGTTACTTCGGCAGATATTCAAAATCCTTGATTCCGCGTGTTCGAGAGGGTCTCCGTGGAGCGATGATGTTGCGGATCGGCTCTGTAAGCGTGCCGTAGTTGGAGTACGGTCTCGCCGGGTTTAGGAACGCCACAACTTTCCCGGTGGCAGGATGGACTCTTTCAGCAGTACAAACTTTCAACAGGCTAATAAAAAAAAATGTTTTGCGGGTGTGTTTCTACAACCTGAAGTTAGTCTGTCTCAAAAGGCGACATGTCTCTCAGCTGTAGATAAGAAATGTAGCCAGTGCAGTAGAACCTCTAGCCTGGGGTCTCTAACGTGCATAACGCAGTAGTGATATATGACCGCACGCCGGTACGATGCTCATCCGGATCGAAGTGGGCAGAGGTGGGAATTGAACCCAGGATCCCTGGGTTCTGCAACTAACTGGCTGATGAAAAGAACTTAGGAACGCTGACGGGCACCCCGTACAAGTGAAAGAACAGAGACCGAGACCGCAGGGGACGCATATCCCAGACTCTAACCCCAAACAGCCGCCATGCCTTCGGTTAGTTCCTGCTATGCCCCTCACAAATTTTATTATCAAAAATTAGTATTCTACATAATGTTGAGAATATAATTATCATTATTAAAATGTTTCCAAACGACAGCGCTTTCTCATCAACCACCTAATATGATCGTCGGTCAGCGCCAAACCTTAAGAGCGTTGCGTAACACGTTAACTGCTATTCCACCATGTTGACTCGGAACGTGTAAAGGAAGTCAGCATAGGACTGACTGCCTTGGCGTTTTTTTTTTATCTATTTCTGAACTTCATCTCGAAGGGCTCTGCGAAAAATCTGTAACTTATAAGCAGCCTCGCCTTCGCACGATCACAGTATCAAAATTGCTCATTTGTGAGACTAGCAATACCTTCTGAAACTTTTCAAGGAAACAGTACTAGAGGACGAAAGGGCCAGGACTCCTTTCAAAAAGACATGTTTGCAAACTCAATCAAAATTTAAAAAAAAAAAAAAAAAATCAATGACGTTTTTAATTTTAAATGGCTGCATTACCTCACTCATCTGAAAGAACCCAATGCCGCCGCCATCATGAATAACATTCGTGCCTGATGCCACACTCTCTATTTCGCATCTCTTAACAGTTAGTTTTTTTGTTTTTTTTTAATTTAAGGTCCGCTTGCCTTTCTTGTTCTGCGGTCTGACGAGCCGCGTCTATTTCTCGATCTCTTCGCTCCTCTGCCTCTCGGGTATTTTGCCGCACCCGCTCCTCGGCCTCTCGAGTCATTCGACTTTGTCTTTATCAGTATTTATTTCTCTCTAAGAATAAGTTAACATTTTTTAAACTGCTCAAAGGAAATAAATTTCCAGTTCTCTGGCAAAATCTAACCTATGAATCTTTCTCAGCTTCGAAAAATTCATCGTGAGATGACGATTACCATGCTAAAATAAAACGTATTTCAAAACAAACTCTGCATAAAACCTGCACCCTACGCTTATTAGGGTACATTGCACTCAAGATAACTTCTGAAAACCTCAATAAAAATCGTTTCCAGAAACTTTTTTTCAATGTACAGCTCACCTTTGGCTCAAAGGAATCCTAGGGGAAAGTCACAACAGGGAAAAGAATACCCGCATCTAAAGAAATTTTTAAATTTCCTTTAAATTTCCCTTGATCGAATGCCGGGTTGCTTTTTCTCGCTAATTTAGTCACGGTATATAGATACCTGGCTGTACAAAAGTCGCAGCTTGCGTCAGAAACAATTTTTCAAGACCTGGCACTGCTCCAGAACCAAACGCATTCGGTCGTTGAGAAGCGTTCAACCTTGTTGAAACGGCTAGCATCTCGGCGTAGATATTTTATGGTGACTTGTCTGACATTTTAAAATGTGTTTATTAGGTTCCACTTGCTTATTTCGAAGGTGCCGGAGAACCATTGTTTCCAATATATATAAAAAAAACTTCTTGTTTATGTTTTGTTGTTTGGGGGGGGGGGGGGGGGGGGCGGGGAAAGAAAGCACGTCGACTCTTCACAACGTTTTTTTACGCATTTTTAGGGCACCAATAAGCTAATTCTCAGACAAATCAATTTCACGCAGATGTATATTCAGATGGGAATCCATTGAGACAAAGTTCCAAAGTTGCATTTTCGGTACCTCCAAGACGCTTTGTTCTTTTTTAATCCTGTATCTAAGGGGAAATGCTTGCCACGCATATTGTGCTAACCTGTATGAAAGCCTTAATACGTGAATGGAAAGTTGGGTATGCTGGTATAGCGTTCATGGTAAAATCAACGTTAATAAAAACAAAAATGAGTCAAGAGAACAGGGCTACGCGCTTAGATATGGTGGGCTTGAAACTTAGATATGATAATCGCACGAGCGAGAGCGGTCCCGTGACTCATTCCCACAAACCTCAGCAAAAGCGGTATGCCGGAAGCAGCACATCCTTGTACTTCAAGGTAGTAAAGGGGGACGTGCTGAAAAGAAGGGGATAAAGGACAGCAACATGAACGGCAAAAAGGACGAGGAGAGGACAAAACATATTTCCAACTGCTGTCCTTTCCTGTCCTATTTTCGTCCAGTTTTCGTCCTTTTTGCCTTCATTTTGCTTTCATTTATCCCCGTAATTTTACCAACGCGCTCTAATTCTGAAAATAAAAAGGCCTTGCTGGAAGAAAAATGGGCACATTGAGCATTTTATCATCTCTGCAGTGGATTTGTTCAGGCGTAAATGTGAACACGGCCGCTTATTTTTATATATATTTCAAAAGTATTAACTGTTTTTAGCCGTCGTGCTGCCACTTTCCGCTTACAGATGGTACCTAGGTAATTGTGACACATCTAATTAGGCTTGAAGCGTGGGACCGCTCTCTAGTCACTGGGAGAAGCGAGCGATCGCTTCGTAAATTTTCGGAAAATGCTACATCCGTGTTAATTCACGCCTGCTGAAAGTGTGCTGACTGATCAAAGAATATCTTCTTTTATTCTAGTACCGAAGTCACTTCCTCAAGTGGAGAAGCCACGTAAAAATGTGTGCGACACAGACGTGTGCCAACATGAAGGTAATGGTATCATAAACTATTCGTAGGTTATGGGCATGTTCATGTGTATTTTTCAGTGTCTTGTCATTGACTCATTCTGAACTATTAGAATAGTTGGCCCAATTAATATTAATACAAAGAACTTCGTCCTCGTCATTTAAACAAAAACTGAAATAAAGAATATTCTTTATTAAAAACAAAGTTAAACCCAACAAAATAACTTGCACGAAACATTTTTGGCCGCAATATTTACGTTGCCGGTCGCAATAGACACATATCAAAATTTTCGAAACGGTGCATAGATTATGTGCGGCCGCCATTAATTGGTCATGCACAATGAGCACGCATTGGACGCGAGCGCTTCTTTAGGATTAGGAGTGTACTCGGATCGAAACGCATCCCATACGAGTGCTGCGTCAGTGCTCGGCCCAAACTCGGAACCAATCACGGGCTTCCCGACGGAACTGATGAGACCAACTAATGGCGGCTCCTCATAATCTATGCGTCATTTCACAATTTCGGTAGGGTCTATTAGGTGGAGGACTCAGAAGAGCATAAAAAGGGGGGGGGGGAGGAACTTATGAGGCTTCAACCCTCCCCCCTAAATCCAGCCGATCGATGGCAAAATACACATGTATTTTGCCCCCCCCCCCCGTCCCCTCCCCCCGCCAAGTCATGAATATCGCAGGCACCTCAACACCCCCCCCCCCCCACCCCCCGAAAAAAATAGGCACTTCAGTAACCCTCCAAAAAACATTTCCTGCCTACGCCACTGGTGCAGTTAGCTCTGCTCAAGGTGTTTAGCTAGCTCAGCGCTTCCAATATGTTACACATTTCCTGTCGGCTCCGAGCAGTACCAAGGGGAACGGAGAGAGCAAATAGTAGGGTGTGGCTTCCGTGGGGTGGAGCCAGCTAGGCGGTCAGAAAACCTCCCGTCTAAAGAAGCCAACCACCCCCTCCGTAGGACACTCCATGATGTTGCCCCAAACATCAATCACGTACTAAATCTCTGTATAGTTCGTTGTTTTCATCGGAGCATTATTTCTATTCTTTCTTTTTATCATTCACCCGCAGACGAGTTGGCACCAGCTATTTCTGAGCGTGCGGTTCTCGATAACCGTCAAAACAGTGTCAAAACACCAAATTCCAGCCGGAGCAGAACACAAAGCTTTCGCCCCGTTCGCGATGCACAAGCACCAGCTAGCCATTCTTGCTTTGGTTTCGCTAGTTCCGGCATTTTGTCTCACCGACTCTCTTTTGAATCGAGGTGGTCACTCTCAAAAGAGCGCTACACGTGTTGTTGAAGGAAACACACACACACACACACACACACACACACACACACACACACACACACACACACACACATACGCGCGCGCGCACGCACGCCAAGCACACACACACATACATACATACATACATACACATATATAGAGAGAGAGATTTAAATATACCATTAATATTCAATAATAATGTAAATATTAGGCGCTAGAAAAATAAAAATAAACGGCCGCGTTGCGGCGCTACCTACCCGTACATGCATGTAGAGAGCCCGTATTGAAAGGAGGGTCTCTCTCAGACCATGGGGAGCGTTTTCAATTCAATGGCAGACGAATCCTCCGGATCTTGGTCGCAAGTGCACATGCTCCGCGCTTTCGCGTGCCGAGGAGGAAAACAGACGGGAGGCGGAGACGTTTGAAGACGATCAAAGCTTTCTAGACCTCCACGAAGCTCGTATTGGCAACGCTGCTCATAGACTACGTAGCCTTAATCGAGCAGTTGGACCCTCTCTGGAATACAGGCTTTCTACAGGCATGCCATGAGATGGAACATTAGCCTGAACACCTCTTGGAGAGAAGCCGATAGACATAGTGTAACTTATATAGTAGGCGGGCAGGCTGGCTACGCTCTGTATCTAGGCTCTCATTGGTTGGAGAGATGATTGGCGTGTGAAATGTTTTCTTGTAAAATTGTGTCTCTCTGCTGTGGTAGTCTTTCATTCGATATACTTCTATATTTCAGAAACAAACAACATAAATTATCACTGTTGTTTTATAAAATATCCCGAGATCGTCTTCTCCATTCTGGTTTCGAATGATAACAAACATGGCTACCGGTGTTTCCGGATGAGAAGTTTCCTACATCATCTAACTAGTTGAGTTGATCTATCTTTATGAGTGCGAGTTGTTTCACGTTCGCCGAGATGTTCAGATGAAGACCTTAACCGACGTAGTTTGCAGCAAACAAGCATCGCAACCACACGCCTTTGGAAGTGCCGTTCGAATGTTTGTTTTCGTAGCGGAACTGACGTAAGCATAGCTGCAATAATACTTAACAAACAAGCGAGCTGGTGATGATTCATGGTAATAAAACCCGAGACTCAGGAACACAGAAGGGGACGTCCCCTTCTGTGTTCCTGAGTCTCAGGTTTTATTACCACGTAAGCATAGCGTCCCACTTCAGCTAATTTGCTTTATGAGGCTTGATTTGTTTATTTTCGGGATTTGAGTGCAACCGTCGTGATTCCGACCATGGTTTTGGTACAGAGAAGTAACCTACACAAGTAAAATTTTGCTAGACATCATTGGCTAAATGCAATTGCGTGTTCGCCTCCCATCAGGTTCGTCCAGGCATGTTTCAGTCATTTTGCTTCGGAAGACCTGTATCCGTGAACTTCTGAGTGGTGAACTTGGCTGAATAAAGCGAATAGTTTTAGGTCGCGTTTTAATTGCGCGTGATGACTAGAGCTGGGATCTCAGGGACGAAATGACTGCTTAAATCTGGAGAAACTTCGAACAGGAAATGCCAAAACATCGGGACATTCTTCGGTATGATGTGCATTTCTCTGAGTACGATCAGAGTGTTTATTAGCGTTGAAATATTATATTTATTTATTCATGTGTTTCATTATTTAAAAACACACGCTCTACTCTCTAAGGTTGAGGGAATTGGTGAACGTCTTCAGTGTTTGTTTGCTTAGGGTGTGCCTTTTCTCTGCAAACAAATTATTATAGTAGGAGAACGAACACTTCACTTCCGCAAAGACAAGCGGCAAAAACCGGAGGGCTTGTTTGGCATCAAAGTCATAAACGCCATTTGGAACTTTTGGTGAACGTGCCCACTCTATGTCAGAGTTTTACAGCGAAGGTGTATACCCCTACCAGACAAGGAAATTTTCGTGTCGGTGTTGTAAGCAAGAAACTTCCGGGGAACAATTGAATGCAAAACAGCATATCTCTTTTGAAATCAGGCATAGAGCATAAAGCTCAGTATCCGTTTCAATAAAGAAAGCCACAAAACAAGCATCAACAAAATAAGCATCAAAACCACATGATGGATGATAAGGCGCGTTTGAACCATAGGAACACCCTCTCACGCGTTCTGGTAAAGATTAGGTTTGCAGCTGCTTCGAAAGGGGTTGACGTCATTAGCTGCCGCGGCGACGGCAGCTTGCGACGTGGGAAGTGACGTCACTAGCCTTTCATATATAAAAGAAGAACACGCCTTTACCCCGTTTCATTTTACGTCCGAACGCAGCATCTACGAGCTATCTTGCTACGCCCCTACGAACTATCTTGCCCAATCCCGTTCTGTGGGCGTGGCCCGTGATACGTTTTCCGCGCGTCGCTGCGCCCCCTCTCTAAAGTCACGTGACACTCACACGGCCTCCGATTGGCTCCGATGGCTCGTAACATCCGCTGCGCTTAAACGTAAGATGAAACGGAGTATAGAAACCGATTTCATTGTTGCTGCAGCACCGCGATGAATAGGCCAAGCATAGTAAGGTCTCCCGAGGAGCAGAGTAAATACTAGGAGCCACAAAGGGAAAAAAAAACGGCAACACGAACAGCCGCAGCGTGCTGCGAACGGCGGCGGCTTTTGTATAGTGCAGTAGGCAATCGTTGCAGGTGATACCACAGCTTCGCTGACCAACCAGCTTCACAACGTGGATTGGAGCCCCAATTTTTTTTTGTCATACAATTTACAAAGTATGTTTTCTGCAGAGCCGTCCAGCAACGATATACCAAGAGGAGCACGCGCGGAAACGGCGGCGCGTCGCCGGAAGTCATCGCAGACTTATTAGAGCGCGTGCGACTCTGTGGACATGCTGATTTAAGGCGATTCGTCAGCAACAACCATTAGGAGTGTGCGAGACACTATCAGTCGGTAGTATAGAACATCCAGCGCTTTAGAAGGTGGGGAAGGCAGCCGGCTCATATAAGGCAGTGCATACGGCTTGAAGGCCGTTAGAGCCGTTGGCGCAAGAATGCCACGCTGGCTCGTTGCCGGTACAAAAATATTCTCAATGACAGGCACATTTTATATGGGCGTTTAAGTTTAGTAACTGGACATTCCTTTAAAAAAATTGGGACAATCGGGACAATATTGAATCTTTCGGGACGCTCAACGTAAAATCGGGACAATTCGGGACAACATGGAAATTGCTTAATAGATATGTACTGGTACCGTTATCGGCACACTTTTCGAAATCGGAACATGTACCAAAAATCCCAACTCCAGTCATGACGCTCATCCACCTTGCTGGCGGGCGCTATGCAAGACCACAACAAGAACACAAACACTAAAGCACTGCATATTTATTTTGTAGATTTTTGGGTCGTTTTTCACTGCACATCGACAGACGCTACAATACACTCGTATTGAAGCGTGGCTCGTGATTCATGGAACTTTAGAACGCCGTTTTTATGGTCGCGTCTTGGGAGAGAATGGACGGTTTTAGACGGTGGCGGATTAGCAGACAAACGCAAGCGATGGTGGAGGCTAACGCGCCGCTTTTATTGGCGCGTGTTGCGGACGTTGCAGATCATTACAGACGGTCGTAGGGAGTGTTCTAATAGCAAACGATACCCTACGCTGCCGCGCGTCTGCTCGAACGACTAGCAGATGGTATCAGACGGCAAACTGTATCAGACGGCACAGGACGTCGTGACGGAGAGACTTTAGGCTTTCGTGCGTGCTAGGCCGAGCAGCCAAGCCAATGCAGTTGTAATGGGCGGGGTTACCGTTATGAGGGCGAAGCCTAGAGCGTATCGCAGCATAAATATTTTTCTAACTTTTTTTTTTTTTTTGTGGATTTTTTTTTACATACGTGTCACATCGAAGTATTTAAAAAAAATCATTTTTTTGCAATATTAAAGGGCCAGTACAACAATATTGAGTTAAAACGTCTCTCACTCTGCACTAGCTTACTGGCACTACAGTGACTCAAATACACTCTCCTTCAACGCCACCAACAAGAAAAGTTTCTTTGTTACGTTATAATATCAAATATTATAAATGCGGACTTTTTTCTTCAGTCTCTCCTTCGCAAAGCATAACGCAGTGGTAACGGCGATCGCATTGTTGTCACAGTCCTGGGATTTTTTCACGAAGAGCATTCAATGAGCATTCCGCTAGTGGATTGTGTAAAATAGCTGCGGTAACGGGAAGACCCGAATCCTAACAATGCCTGGAGCTCACCACATGCCCTGTGCTTTTCTAACTCCGGCGCGTGTTGGCTATAATAAGCCTTTGTGTCATACATTCATTCCCAGATCATGTGTCCTCTTGTTCAGATTGCAAATAATGAGGTCAACGCTGCTCTTTTTTTGTGTGTGTGTGTGTGATTGCCACTGCGTAGAGAGAAAAACGAACGCGTTTCTTGTAAGTTATAACCGTCGAAGATTAATTTGACGCAGCATATTGTCAACTTACAAAACTCGTTGTACTACTCTTTTAACATTACAAGAGACGTTTTATTCATTTCGTTTATGTGGTGCCTCCAAAATAGCCCGTCGGCCGACTGAGTCTTTTCGATCTTGGAATCGTGTTTGTTATGTTCTATTGCAGCGGACCTAATCTTATCGGCCATTAACAACACCGTGGACCCATGCCAAGATTTTTACGGGTTTGTCTGCGGCAAATGGTTGTTGCGCAACCCCATTCCCGACGACCAACAAAGTATCAGTTCTCTCCATAAAAGTGCGGAACGTGTCACCAACGACATTGGAGGTAAGAATGTGAAGGGAACATTCTAAATATTAAATCGAGCTTTCCTTTTTAGAAAACAAATACAGATAAACTCATGCATATTCAGCTTGACTCGGCACGTGTCTTAATTGTGAATTACCGGTAGACAAAAATATATATTTTTTTTGTTTTCCAAAACTAGGCAATTGTGCCATTTACGAAACGGGCCATCATAAGTAATAAAACTAAATCAATATCAAATTCAACATCACACATAGGTGAAAATATTAAATGGTACCTTAACTTTCGCAGAGCACGTGGTGCGATTTATGAACGCTGAGACCTTAATTTATGAACACTGGAATTACTCAACACCTCAATAGGACAGAGCAGGCTCCGTATAACCGAAAGATTAGTTGCACGTAAAAAGATCCCCCGGTGGTCAAAATTAATCCTCACTTCTTTGCTGGAGCGTGCCAGGTGCTATTGGCTGGTTTGCGACTTACACTCCCCTATTGGCCTTTTGCTTTTCAAGATTTCAACTGATTGAAAGCCGAACAAAAAGAACAATTAATGGCCGGCTTGGACGGCGATGCTATTTAGCGATGCCGAAGTCTGGGAGAATTATGCAGAATTATGAATAGCACAATGACATATTTTCTCTCCCTCTTTTTCATGTATGGCCTAGTGCGACTATAAATAAAAATGTAGTTTGAGGATCCTAAGAATAATTATTTCTTATCAATAAGTTGAATTGTTTATTTCATATACCCTACTTAACTTTACATTCCACTGTACTATTTTACGCCTTTATTTCGATACGTTATACATATATACGACAAATCTAAACTGCCGAAAACTTAAAAATGTACATGCAAGCTTTAGATCAGGCCTTCACCTAAAACATTTTGCATCGGTTTTTCAGCTATACTCAACACAACGATTTTCAAGTACAAGAACCAGAACGCCACGGACAAAGCTATTATCTTTTACAAGTCTTGTCTGCGAGAAGGTAAGACCGGGATCAAGCCTTTAAAAGCACACATGACCGCTACTACGTAGATAAATTACTTTAGCAGTTTAACAAACAAATATTGAAAACAAATTGCCTAAATCGTTGCACTACCTCGTAGTGCATAAACATTTTTTTTAATTACATATCTATTAAGTTTCTTAGGAACTGCTCTGGAAGTTGCAGGAATACAGAATACATTTTCTCCACGTCCATGTAGCCATTTATGATATTTAAAACGATTTCACATAATTTTCTGATATGTGTACTTTCCGCAACCAATAACTTTTATTGTAGAATTAATGCACTTTGAATGTGTTTTTTTCTTACCTTATTTGCATAAATAAACATATATGTAAATATCCCTATTTGGAAGTTACTACTTTCCACCACTGTTTGATCAGGTTATCATCGCTGAGCATCTCGAGGCACTTAAAAACATTGATTTCAGCAGGTACAAAGAACAGCTGTATGGCGATGTATGGCAGCAGCCTCATAACAAAAAAAAAATAAGGCTTCATTTTTATTGGGCTTTATGAAGTTCTGTGGCTTAGATCAACTTAAACGAACCGGGAATCGCGCTGCAAATGTCCTTGACCTTCTTCTGTCCAGCGTATCGGTTGACTCTGTAACTCCTAGTTTTGCCCCTTTAGTGCAGATGGATGTTTTCCACCCTCCATTCACTGTTGAGTTCTGTCTTTCTCGTAAGAAGCCAGCAACGTATCCCTAATCTACTTAACTGTTACTATAAAGGCGCTTACTAGATTATGTATAAGTACTTCACAAACTGCTACTGGAGCGGCCTGCTCACTCTGTCCGATGTCGAACTGGTGATCGAAACATTTTCTTTGATGGTTAAAGGCGGAATTAATCTAAATTAATATATTTGTGCCGCAGAGCATTGCAAAAGCTTCAATAAATTCTGAGTGGTTTTCTAGAGAGTTGAAAATGTACATGCGGAAGAAAGACCACTTTTGTAGACTTTTGAGACAAACACTTATATTACACTTAGTTTAGCGTAACAGGGCCTCAGTGACAAAAACAAAATGAAAGACGTTTACAATTTCCTGTAACACCGATGTAGAGCGTAGGTGCTGCGGAGGAGGAGGGGAGGGTACTGAGGGGAGGTATGCCCCTACTCCTCATCCGTATGGTCTTCTCACACCTCCTAGAAATCAGGCCGTAGCGCTCCGAGTGGGCACGTCAAAATGGCGGAGGAAGGAAGGCCATGGCGCAACTACGTGAGAAAATGCCGCTGTCGTCGGGTGTTGGCGCAGTAATGTTCGTGCGCGTTTATCCGACATTAATACACGCTTTAAAAGCGCAGTCTTGTACAATCTATTATACATATATTATACACGTAATATACAAAGCGTTACCACGGTTGAAAGTACCAAATTTATATTTCTGATTATCCCCGTAACCGCGGGACTGCGCACAGTCCCGCAGCTCCCCATCGAATGGACCGGTTCCGAATTTTCGATGCGACATCTTCCCCCGTACGGGCTCTGATTCTGGAAAATTTACGTTGTGTGTGAGCTGCTGACTGCCTGCAAAGGTACGCTGAGATATTTCAGAAGGGAAAGGAACCGAAAAAAAAAAAAATCCAGTCATCGCTGCAGGGAGGGAGCGCACACGAGCAAGGGATGGGTCGACAATGTTAAGCCTCTCGTCCCCCACTGCTGGTGCTGCTCTCGTGTGTGTGTGTGCGTGTGGTTTTGATCCTCCTACCCGTCGTTTTTTTGTCGTCACCGCAGTCTCGGATAGATTTTTTTTTTGTGTGTGTTCGCTTGATACTACTGCATTTACGTGGATTCGCGAAACAAGTCCTGCTACGGTTTGAGTGACGTGTGTGGCAGCTAGTCAACGATGACACTGGCCGATGACCTCTCTCTCGACAGAGAGAGACTTCTAGAAGTTCGTGTTCAAATTTTTTCGTGATGGATCGTGTGGGACGTATGGATACGATCGACAGATGATGAACAACTTATTTACGGGCTTTTTTGGTCATGCAGTGCTGCAGTCGATTTTTTTTAAATATCGTGATAGGATGGAGTTTTGTTTTTCGTCCCTATCCGTCTGCTATGCGTGGTAATATTCTAGTTTTTACTGGAAGGTAAATAACATGTTTGAGTGATCACTAAAAGTGCGTTGCTTGTGCTTATGTGCTTATTTATTATAATGTTAGCTTGTTCCCTTTACGGCGTTTATACTAGAATCTTAACTGTATTAAGGCAATAGTATTAATGTATACAAAATAGGTTATGTTTCGTTCTTAGGCACCTCGAGATCATAGGGAGAATTAAATTAGTTAACTGTAAATACTAAGTTTAGTACCCCGGCCACACGGAGAAGTTAATATATTTTGATTAAATAATGCGGGATTTAATCAGCTTGTTGTTTTGAGTGATTATATGAGTGTCGCAAGCTGATTTGTCGGCTCCATATTTTCATTCGATCGAAATTACATTTTTTTAATTCAGTGACTGCACGCGATAACATTGCTTACAAGATCGTAAGTGACACTTTTCGAGCCGTGTCCGCGCTGGCTACGTCTACCTGATTTTTAACTGATCTGTATTGCTGTGTCCAATCACTGCGTGTCTCGCCATTTTGTCGAAATATTTCTGTATAAAATATGCATTCCTACAGCAATAATAGCGTGACTCAATATTTTCTACTTAAAACATTCACATTTTTCTATAGACGTCTTCTACGCATACCTCGTACCATTTCGCATAGATTATTTAGCGGCGTAATGTTTTTCTCGAGTCATAAAGTGTTTCTTAGACCGTTGCAATGTGCAGCTTTCATTTTATCTAATAAAACACGCGTATGTCACGAAAAGCGCGTTACGACGGTCGATACACGCGCGTTGCCTTCGCTTCGACACGCGCCCCCGATGGCCTTCCTTTGCGACGTCACGAGAAGAGCGTCACAGTCTTATTTCTGGGAGGTGTTGCTTCTGATACCCCCTCCTTCTTTCACGCGTGAAACGCGCGTCGTCGCGTGACGTTTCGGCGCGGTGCATTATGGGACCTTTCCCATAATGCACCGCGCGATTACGCCGACGCCGACGCCGCTCAAGCCGGAAACAGGCGCCTAAGAGTATATTCAAGTGACAAGCGCCTACACCTTGACCATGTAGAGAGTAGCTTAAACTGGCAGCCAAAAACCATTTGGCGATTTGCAAAAAAGCACACTCGCAATTCTAATCAAAGCATTTGTTTGCGTACAGATAACGATGCGAATTATGTTACATCTCCTTTAAAAGTTGCGAGTGTATTAACTTAACCAGCCAGGGTATTGCTCCGCCTCAGGAAGTTGAAACGGACTGCCATGACATCTTGACCGGTATAAGAGTAAATACGACAGAAATCGCAGAATCAATTAAACAGTTAAAACCAAAGTTATCTACAGGCGCTGACTGTATTCCATCGTTTATTATAAAGGGCTGCAGTGACATTTTCATACCGGTTCTGCTGCACATTTTTAACCTCTCTCTGCATTCCGGTGCCTTCTCATCACTATGGCAGAAAGCGGTTGTGGTACCTATTTTAAAAGGAGGCGATAGCTCTGTCACAAGTAATTATCGCCCCATATCTTTATTGTCCGGTCTTTCTAAAATTTTTGAACGGGTTGTGCATTCCCGAATTCTTTTTTATTTCCACCAAAAGTTTGTCAGCATGGTTTTCTGAAATGACGGTCGGTCGAAACCCATTCTTGCTGTTTAAACTATTCTAACCCCATAGTTATAAACAGAGACGAAGTTGATTGTATATCACTTGACGTGTCGAAAGTTTTCGATAAAGTAATTCATGAATTGTTGATACACAACATATTGTCATACAGTTGTTGTTCAGAGCTGTGTAACTGGTTCAAAAGTTACTTATCATTTCGTCCAAACAGTGTTCGTACTCATAACAGTTATTCCTACCTTTCCTTCTTAACATATAGTGTCCCTCAAGGATCTATTCTTGGCCCCCTTTTGTTCTTAATCTTCGTCAACGGCCTAGCGGCCTTGTGGATAGTGCTGAGTTACTGATGTTTGCTGATAACATCAAGCTTTTTACGAGTGTAAAGTATCTTGTTGACTGCGACGTTCTGCAACATGACGTATTATGTGTTGTCCAGTGGTGTTCAGCAAATAGCTTATCACTGAATCCCCTGAAAACAAACGTATTGACTTTCTACATGCGTCGCTGTATAGTACACTATGATTACATTATAGACGGAGTGACAATCAAGCGTGCCTCTGTTGTGAAAGACCTTGGCGTGTAACTCGATAATGCATTCAAGTTTACTGCTCACGTGTCGTTTATTGTTGGAAGGACGATGAGAATGTTGGGTATTATATGCCGCATTACTCAGCCATTCAAGAACCCGGCCTCCATGATTGGTTTCTTTCGTGCCCTAGTAAGTTCTGGGCTTGAGTCCGGTTCTGTAGCCGGAAATTCGTTATCGAGAACACAAGCAATGACCACCGAAAATGTGCAACGCAAACTAATACGTATTGCAATAATACTTAAAAAAACAAGCGAGCTGGTGATGATTCATGCTAATAAAAACCCGGGACACAGGAACATAGAGGGGGACGTTGTGCTGTGTTCGTCCCCTTTTGTGTTAACGTGTCTCGGGTTTTTATTACCATAATACGTATTGTTCATGATTGCTACTTCCAACCACATTTCTATTTTGATCACATTTTTCTGCTTAATGAGATTTCGTTGATGCCATTGACCAATAGAAGAGCAGAGCGCGACTTAGTTTTTCTGTACGAAATTGTAAATACCGTATTTGACAGTGCTTCGCTTTTACGTGATGTATACATCAATGTTCCTCCTCGTTCCACTAGGACCCGCATTACTTTCAGTATTCACACCGTTTGTAAACCATATCCTCTGTCACGGATACAATCTCGGTTAATCAATATTGAAAATGCCTAACTGTATATGTACAGTGACATTAAGGCGCTCAGGAATCGAGTGAAAGTGCTTGTAGCCGAACTTTAAATGTTGTGTGTTTGCTGCTGTGTTTAAAACCTGCAATT